GAACCGTTGAAACGTCCATTTAAATCTTCACGAGCGGAATGGATTGCTTGATGGATTGCCAGGGTTTCGTTTTGAGTGTTTGAGTAAACAAGCGTCTGGGGTATCAATGAATCATGTATGATTGTTTTTGGAGCAAAAAAACGCCGGATGTCGCAGCCGGGTTTCGAAGGGAATTTGAGAGGCATTCGAATTAGTCTGATTTCCGGTCTAACCAGCTCACCCTCGAGCTTCACAACGTCCCCTTCTTTCCATTTCAAGTTGGCCATGATTTGCTGAACAGCCTCTGGTCGACAGGTAGCGGACAAGAGAAGGACCAGCACATTGCTTGAAGTCAATCGGAGATGAAGATTACCGTAAGAAGGGCGAAAAACTGCCCGATCCTGAGTTCGAAGATGCACCGACGAATGACGAGCCGCACGAGACTTCACCAGTCTGTAAGGTGGAGTGATATCTCCACCTTCACTGAGTCGAAGTTTGGCACAGCTCTCGAAAGAGCGAGGGTTTATCTAAACCCCTTGTATCAATTCTAGTCCAGCACTTGAGAGAATCAGAAACCAGTAGAACAAATAGAGATAATAAAAGATGAGAGAAACCACGAAGGAAAAAAGGAAAACGGTAAGGGGGGAAGAACCAAATCTATCTACTTGAAACCCTCTATCTAAACCCATACCCTAACTTGTAACCCATAATGTAATATTCTACTTCCACCCTTACACAGTCCCCATTCGTAAACCATATGTGCTTCATCAATCACCATTAAAATTAATCTTCTTTGAAAGTCATTTGAGAAAAATACAGAACGAAATAGTAGATTGTTGAGATACACCTCAGGACTCTACCCAAATTACACAGACACGTCAGTTTGACGAAAATAACAAATGTCAATAAAGCTTACACTGCAAAAATAATGTATTTTTCCCAGGTGAAAAATGATTGACATTAATGCACAAAATGATTAATAATGCAGAATTAATGCAGAAAAATGCAGAATTAATGCAGAATTAATGCATTTTTAATCATTTTGTGAAATAAATGTAATCATTTTTCACCTCGGAAAAATACATTATATTCGCAGTGTTAGGCTCACCATGTAAACAAACTGGTAAACTCCATTCTTTATATCATCGAAATTCTTCTTGGTTGCGTTTTCTGCATTGCAATTGATAGCGGATATGCCTCTCGCAATCTTGCTAGCAATCTACAGGCCACCAAATCAGGATGAGATAAAATTTGATTCATCGCATCAATCTCCGCTGAACAACGTACCTGGTTGTTGCCTAGCGAATCCAGAGGGACAATTGTCAAAACAATGTATTTTGGCTTGTTTGGATGCAATGCCGCGTAAACCTCAGCAATTCGCGACTTTCCGAAGCCAGTGCCCGCCCGTAGAAAAGTATTTCTCTTATTAACTAGCGCAACAACTGATTCAATTTGAGGTTCTCGACCTGGTTGATCAAACATTGAGATAAATTTATTTGAAACGACGTTTGTCTGATATTCCTTCGTATTATTAACTAGCGTTGATGGAACCTCCGGCTTGGTCAATTCCCTGTCCTTACTTTGCCAAATCGCGGGTGTAGTTTTGATTGGACTGGAATTGGAGGTCTTTGAATTCGAGCGAGTAAGCATTTTGAAGGTAATAAGTGGAGAGTATTGAGATATGAGATTCGACAAGTGGCAGCCAAGAGAACTTCTGGTGGTACCCCGAGAGGCTAGCAGGATACCACTCTGACCACACGTGCTGTGCTTTTGGTTATGGCTTTACACAAAAGCCATTACTTACATTTTTCTCCATTGTTCCATATGTAGCTCGGTGAATAACCGAGGAATCTCGACAATTCCTGTTGTACATTATGGCGCAAGGCTCAGCGCATATGCTTACGAAGCGGCGTAAAATGTTCCTCGGTGAGCTAACGGGAATGGGAAAAACAAGATTTCCTCTGCGAAGGATTTCTTACCCCTCAGGCCAAAAACCCGAGATTAGATGTAAGTCCCTCATGCTGAGACATGCGGATTCAACTTGCTTGAATGACAGCTGTCTCAGCATCGAGGGACTTAGTTAAGTTAGGGAGTGTAGTTATATCAAATCATCTAGTTTAGGTATCTGAAACAATTGGTATTTGATATGATGCCCAGATATGTTCTCAGAGTCAGTGAAGGATTTACAAAGCTCACATATTGTCTGCTCTTAATAAGTTCTTGTCTTTCATTAATTTTTGTTGTGCCCAGTCTTCTTTTATTTCATCTCATCTCTCTATATCACATTCAACCAATATTTATCTCATTGCTGAATTTACCTATCAAAAATTTCTAAAGCTTATAAAACTACAAGATCAACAAACACTCTTGTTGAACATAACAAACTGCAGGAGGGGACAGCTATCTATCTTTTGTTATAAGGTAAGATAGATATCTGGTGGTTGTCATGAACATACAAAACATATGCAGTAATCTTTCTTTTATTCTATCAGTAGATATCAGTAGGGATCATCTACTAACCCTAGGTTACTTACATTCACCCAGTTCATTGTATTGGCAAGGTGGCTAGGAAATCCAGTATCAGCAAATCAGATGCACAGATCAGTAGTGATATCTTTTTACGACATAATATTAGTGGAAAAAATAAAAAATGTGGTAGTTCATTCTATCTAGGTATTGAAATCACAGGAACCAATCATCATCATCAACAACCAAGGCAGTGTTAGAGATGCTGGAAAATGGGTCAAATGCAAAATTGGTGCAAAAATGAAGCTTTATGTGCTAGATTTGCAGATGACCATGACACTAACATATGTTGGCAGAAAAATTGAATCTCTCAAATGAAGACTCTGATCACTTAGCTAAGAATGATGATTGGCCAACAAAATTGGAGTGGACAAAGGGTCCAAAATAGGAGAAGATGGAAATCAAACAGGGCTTTAGGCATTTATTATACTTGGTTTTTTGTTGATTTTTGCAGTTTAAATTTTTCAACCTCTTGGAACAAAAGGTTCTTTTTTTATCAATTTACCAATGGGCGTTTTCAATATGCTTTACAAAATGCTGTGGGATTGGGCAAGGAGACATTATTGTGTTCTTCTTTTTCATTCTGGAAAAGTCAAATTGGGACGATTTGGTCAAAGTGAACAAAGTCACATGATTCATCACATATGTGATTTAATGATTGAATGTTGTGTGATGAGATTCACAACTTCAAGATCTCAATAAATTTTCAAATTACAAGAGCTTCATTCATGACTCGTAACTATTCTAAAGAAAGAAAGTAACATGAGATTGGATTTGGATATGAGATAGATCCAGCTAAATCCAATAAAACATGCTATCCAGACTGTTTGGATTCCTATGGAGGCAGAAATTATAATGAGTGAGATTGGCGGATACCGAAGTGAGCAAAGATGTGGTGTACGTTTCAAGATGTATGGTTCTAAGGGTGAGGATGTATGTGATATGACAGGTCCAAGCTCGCCTCTGAAGCGCGTTGGTTGATCGATCAGCCAGAATTCAAAAAATACCAACCAAGTTCTTCCCAAATCAAACCAACCATATCTCAAAGAAACACCCTTCTTTTGATATCCCTCACTCACTACTCAATCTCAATCTTGTACAAATAGTATCGGTCTTGGAATCGCAGCTGAGGGTACTTTTACCTCCCCATCGATAGCACTTGTGCACTTCACTTTGTCACTTGAATTCAGTCCTCAAGATGCCACCCAAGAACAGGGATTTCTCAGGTTATCAAGTGAGTTTATTTGATCTTGTTTTTGGATATTTCAACCTAAAGCACCATCAATTCTGACCAAGTTTCTATTTTTCAGTATGCGGCGATGTCATCGCTCGTATTGACAGCCGACCGATCAAAGATTCCACGACGAGATAATGAGCCAACGGGTGAACCTGAAACTTTAGTGGGTCGGATAGATCCCAAATCGATGGGATCTCGAGCCTTCAAGGAGTCAGTTAATTTGAAGCAAGATATTTCAAAGAAGAAATCAAAACATGCAGCAAATCATGACGAGCGACCTCGAAAGGTAACTGAAGCAAGCGGAAGGAGGTACGGTGATGTGATCGAAGCTATACAAGAGATTGAAGGATTGAATTATAAACCTCGAACAAGTGAAACAAAACAAATCTATGAAATCTTGCTTTCGACTGTTCATCTCACACTAGGTGATCAACCTAATGACATTATCCGATCAGCAGCCGATATGACCATTGAGACTCTGAAGAACGATAATGAATATCCAAAAGATCTCGACAAGAAGCGTGCAATTGAAGAATTTCTCGGAATCATTCCAAATGAGAAATTCAACGAGCTCAGCAATCTTTGCAAGAAACTTACTGATTATGGGGGAGAAGACGCCGATCAGCAGGGATCTGGCGAGGGAGGAGAAGATGGTGAAGGAAAAACAAGGGCGAATGAGCTAGACGATGATAACAACGGAGTTGCGGTCGTATTCGAGGATGACGAGGGTGCTGAAGATAGTGATGAAGATGAATTTGAAATCAGGGATGAAGAGAACAGCGAAGAAGAAAGTGGCGACGATGATGAGCGTGATGAAGACGACGATGATCGTGATCCTAATCCAATCGATGCTGATGAACAAATTACCATTGGACCCGACACGACCAAGAACGCCCAAACCGGTCTCAGAACCAAGAAATCTAAGCAAGAACTCACAATTCACGATATCGATGGATTTTGGCTTCAACGGCTTATCGGTTCACATTTTCTTGACCCTATCGAGGCCGAAGCTAAGACGAAGGAGGCCATCAATCTTCTCTCTGCCGACAACTCTAGCCTACGGGACCTCGAGAACAGTTTGGTCGATCTGTTTGATTACGATAAATTTGAGCTAGTGTCGATCTTGACAAAAAACCGTGATATCATCGTCTGGGGAACTAAATGGTCTCGTAGTGATGAGGACGAGAAGGTCAATTTGGCAGTTGTGATGCGAGAAAAGGGAGTTGGATGGATCGTAAAAGCGCTGACTACTGGTCGAGGCATCGTTAATCCTCAATTGCAAGCCACAAATGAGCCTAGCAAGATGGACATCGACAGCGATGAATCAAAATCTGCATTCCCCACCAAGGCCAACCTGATCCCCAACTCATTTCTCCCTAACCCTAAGAAGGTTGTTGATCTCAATTCGATGAAGTTTAATCAAGGCTCGCGTACTATGACCAACAAAAAATGTAAATTGCCAGAAGGTTCTCATAAAGTTCAACCTACTGGAAAAGGTTATGAAGAGATTCGTGTACCGGCACCTCAAAAAGCGATTGTCAGTAGTGAAGATTTGGTGAAGATTTCGGAATTGCCATCTTGGTGTAGAGAAGCTTTCAAAGGGGCTACCAGTCTGAACCGTGTTCAGAGCAAAACTTTTCCTATCGCGTTTGGTCAAGATGATCCAATTCTATTGTGCGCTCCTACAGGGGCTGGTAAAGTGAGTCATTTTTCCTCGTTTGATGCTATTCTGGCTAGCTGATGTCTTGTGGTATTTCTCGTGACCTCTTTTTGATAGACAAATGTAGCAATGTTGACTGTTCTGAACGAGATTGCAAAGCACCGAAATGAATCTACGGGTGAAATCGATTTTGCTTCGATCAAGATCATCTATGTAGCACCAATGAAGGCTTTAGTTCAAGAGATGGTTGGCAATTTTTCAAGTCGACTGAAATACCTTGGTATCCAGGTTGGGGAGTTGACTGGTGATCGACAAATGACAAAGGACCAAATCTCGATGACTCAGATTATCGTCACTACTCCTGAAAAATGGGATGTCATCACTCGTAAAAGCACGGATACCAGTTACACTAATTTGGTCGGATTGATCATCATTGATGAGATTCATCTCTTGCACGACGAGCGTGGTCCTGTTCTTGAAGCTTTGGTATCACGGACGATTCGTAGAATGGAACAAAATCACGAATATGTTCGACTAGTCGGCTTGTCAGCTACCTTACCCAACTATCTAGATGTCGCTAAATTCTTACGCGTCAATCCCAAGAAAGGACTATTCTTTTTCGACAGTTCATATCGACCTTGTCCATTGCAATTAGAGTTCATTGGTATCACCGAGAAGAAGGCGATTAAACGTTTACAACTGACGAATGAAATTTGTTATGACAAGGTCATAAATCAACTAGACGACAAGCAACAGATCATCATTTTTGTTCATTCCCGAAAAGAGACCGCTCGGACAGCACAGCAATTGAAGGAAACGGCAATCGAACGTGAAGAGATTGGGAAATTTATGTCTGGTGGCCTGGCCACTCGGGAAATTTTGATGGAGTCAACTGAGCACGTACAAAACCCACAGCTCAAAGATATCCTCCAATTTGGTATTGGTATTCATCATGCAGGACTGGCAAGAGTCGATCGTAGACTTGTGGAAGAGCTATTTGCAGATGGACACCTTCAGGTCTTAGTATCGACTGCTACTTTGGCTTGGGGAGTCAACCTACCCGCCCATGCTGTCATCATCAAAGGTACTCAAATTTACAACCCGGAGAAAGGTAGATGGGTGGAATTATCGCCCCAGGATGTCCTCCAGATGTTAGGTAGAGCAGGAAGGCCTCAATATGACACGATGGGTGAAGGTATCATCATTACCAACCATTCTGAACTTCAATTCCACTTGTCGATAGTCACAAGTCAGCTGGTAAGTAATTCCGCCCAATGAAGGTTCACGTACTAGCACAGTTGTTAACGGTTTATCCTCTTTACCCATCTCGTTGCTTTTGTCTTCTTCAGCCTATAGAGTCTCAACTGATTAACAAGCTGGCAGACAATCTCAATGCCGAAATCGTCCTCGGTACCATACGTAATCGGGATGAAGCCGCACAGTGGTTAGGATACACCTATTGGTTCCAACGCGCCCTCGAAAATCCATCGCTCTATGGAATCCAATACGAATCAAGTGATCCACTGCTACTTCAAAAGCGATCTGACATTGTTCATACCGCATTTTGCATGTTAGACAAAAGTGGTTTGATCAAATATGAACGGAGGACTGGTTTGATTACTTCGACTGAACTTGGCAAGATTGCGAGTCATTATTATATCACGAATTCTTCGATGGCCACCTACAATCAGCATCTTCGACCTACAATGACGCTTATTGAACTCTTCAGGTAAAGTTTTTTGTCTCCATTTCTAATCCAAACCATAGACGTCTGATGATGATGTTCAATAGGGTGTTTGCGGCGAGTGATGAATTCAAATACGTACCGACGCGCGCTGAAGAAAAACAGGAACTTGCTAAGTTACTCGAGAAAGTTCCGATCCCTGTGAAGGAGTCGGTCGATGACCCTAGTGCAAAGATCAATGTACTTTTACAAGCATACATCTCGCGGCTCACTTTGGAAGGATTCGCTCTGATGTCAGATATGGTATATGTAACTCAATCAGCCGGTCGGATCTTGAGGGCGTTATTCGAAATCTGCTTGAAACGTGGTTGGGCTCGATTGACTCATTCAGCCTTGGATCTCTGCAAGATGGTAGAGAAAAGAATGTGGACCTCGATGACACCTTTACGCCAGTTTCCTTCTTGTTCGGCTGATATCATCAAACGTGCTGAACGTAAAGACTTTCCTTGGTATCGATTCTTTGATCTCGAACCCCAAGAACTCGGTGAATTGATGGGTAATCCAAAGTTGGGTAAAACTATTCACAAATATGTTCATCAGTTTCCCAAGTTGGAACTTCAGGCGCTTGTTCAACCGATCACTCGAACGATGCTACGAATCGAGCTTACTATCACCCCAGATTTCATCTGGGATCAGGCTGTTCACGGCACAGCTGAAACGTTTTGGATCATGGTAGAAGATGTGGATGGGGAACTAGTACTGTTCACCGATCAATTCTTGTTGCGAGAGCGATACGCAACAGATGAACATTTCGTCACGTTTTATGCGCCTATGTTGGATCCACTACCACCAAACTATTTCATTTCAGTCGTGTCAGATCGGTGGTTGCATGCCGGAACCCGATTGCCATTATCATTCAAGCATTTGATTCTACCCGAAAAGTTTTCATTACCCACGCCACTTCTTGACCTTCAACCATTACCTGTGTCTGCACTACATCATAAAGCATACGAAGCCATATATCTGAAACAAGGTCTCAAGAATTTCAACAAGATCCAGACCCAAGTCTTTCAAGCTCTATATACTAGCAGCGATAACGTATTGATTTGTTCACCAACCGGTAGTGGGAAGACAATATGTGCCGAATTTGCACTACTCCGACTTTGGTCCCAACCTGAATGGTCAAGATGTGTATGTATAGAGCCATACCAGGAAATAGTTGATGCTAGGGTCAAAGAATGGAGAGACAAGTTTGGGCCACTCGGCAAAGTCATTGAGCCCCTTACTGGTGAATTGACTCGTGACGTCGAGCTCACTGCAAGTGACGGGAGCAAGGCTGGACAAGCCAGGATTGATGTGATCATCTGTACGCCTACGCAATGGGATCTTGTCTCACGACGATGGAAACAACGGAAGATGGTCGAACGTACTGGCTTATTGATCGCTGATGAGATACATCTAATCGGATCCGAGATTGGGCCTACTTACGAAGTTATCGTCTCACGAGCACGTTATGTGACCGCTCAAAGCGATATCAGCAAAACGCGGATTGTTGCACTTGGCTGTCCTTTGGCGAACGCTAGAGATTTGGGAGATTGGATGGGAGCTACTGCGCAGACCATCTTTAACTTTTCACCCGGGTCGCGCCCATTGCCGCTCGAGGTACATCTTCAATCATTCAATGTACCTCACTTTCCATCCTTGATGATCCAGATGGCCAAGCCTGCGTATTTATCAATTCTCGAGTATGCCAATGAGAAGCCAGTAATTGCCTTCGTACCTTCACGAAAGCAGTGTCGACTTACAGCGTCTGACTTACTGATCTATGCTCTATCTGATGAGAATCCAACACGATTCTTGAATATCGAGAAAGAAGATCTTCAACCTCATCTTGCTCATATCACGGATCAAAATTTGAAAGAAACTTTAGAAAGCGGTATTGGATATTATCATGAGGCCATGTCAAAGTCTGACAAATTAATTGTACAGAAGCTTTTCGAAGTTGGGGCAATCCAGGTCGTTGTAGCGTCAAAAGATACTGCTTGGAATATTCCAATGACTGCCTATATGGTGATCATTATGGGTGTACAAAACTACGAGGGTAAAGAGCATCGTTATGTGGATTACTCGTTTCCGGATATCTTGCAAATGATGGGCCGAGCATGTCGACCAAATGAAGATACATCTAGCCGATGCGTACTGATGTGTCAACATATTCGAAAAGAGTAAGCTATTGAAATTCAAAGACTTGGATTTGAACTTATAAACTGATTTAACTATTTACAGCTTCTTCAAGAAGTTTTTGAATGAAGGTTTGCCAATCGAATCACATCTTCATTTGTCCCTACACGATCACTTCAACGCAGAAATTGTATCAAAAACAATCGAGTAAGCTTCTTCAACGAGTTTGTGCTCTCTCAGTCCTTTTTATTAGAGTACAATCTGATTATCTTTCTTTGTACCTTACTTTTCATAGGAACAAACAAGACGCTGTGGACTGGTGTACTTGGCAGTGGTTTTATCGTCGCTTGGTGGCCAATCCGAATTATTACAATATGCAAGCCACTGACCATCGCCATCTGGTCAGTTCTTTCTATTCTGGTGATGATCATTCTGCTTTCGAGATCTGACCCTTCCCTTTTTCTCTGACAGAGCGACCACCTTTCTGAATTGGTGGAATCTACTCTGAGCGATCTTCAAAGCTCAAATTGCATCACTATTGAAGATGAAATGGACACTAGTCCACTCCCCTTGGGAATTGTTGCTGCTTATTATAACGTCAACTACATCACAGCTGATGTATTTAGTATGAGTTTGACAGAGAAGACCAAACTGAAGGGTATCCTTGAAATCATATCTGCTGCTCAAGAATTCGAGTCTGTTCCACTTCGACACGGAGAAGAATCATTATTGAAGAAGGTATACGATCGAGTTCCGGTGAAAGTGGCGAAAGCGGAATACTTATCGCCTCACTTTAAAACAAATATTTTACTTCAAGCTCATTTCAGTCGATTAACTTTACCTTCAGATTTGATGTTGGATCAAATTGAAATTTTACGAAAAGTTCCAAATCTCATTTCCGCTGCTGTTGATGTACTCAGTTCACAAGAGTGTCTCAACACGACTGTTGCTATGGAGTTCTTCCAAATGATCGTACAAGCTGTATGGAATCATGATAGTCCGTAAGTGACCTGTGCTCAGTCTTTTTTCGAAAAGAAGTTTTCCGCTTACTATAAATGATGCCTATAGTCTAAAACAGATTCCTGGATTCACGACTGAAGTCATCCAGAGATGTATAGAGGCTGATGTAACTCAAGTCACTGACATCATGGAGTAAGTTACCAGCAAATATCCAGCCACTAGAGCTTCTGAACTGACATGATTTGATATGTTCAGATTGGAGGACGATCAGCGTAACGAATTACTAAGAATGGATAATAAACAATTAGCTAAAGTAGCTCAATTTGTCAACTCACATCCATCTATTGAAATGGGTTACGAAATCGAAGATGAAGATGGACTAACAACCAATACACCCATCACCTTAAAAGTATCATTAACAACTGATGAAGATGAAGATGAGAAAAGACCAGTAGCAGGCAATGGAGTGATTGCACCATTCTATCCTACTGCTAAACAAGATTGTTGGTGGTTAATTGTGGAAGATCCGAAGAGTAAGAAATTATTGGGTCTCAAAAAAGTAACGGGTGTCACGCCTTTACCTACTAAAATCGAATTCACTGTACCTAATGCTGGTAAACATGAATTGAAACTTGATCTGATTTCAGAGTATGTACCCATTCGAAACATGTTCTTTACGACACTCGTTTTTTCCCAAAGACTGACGAAGTATACTTATGTTTTCTTTGTAGCTCATATATTGGTGTTGATCAGGAATTGAAGATTGAATTAAATGTAGCAGAAGGAGATGATGATGATTCAGACGAAGATGATTCAGATGAAGAGATGGAAGATGGACAGGCATAACTTAAAACTTAAAGTGACCAGACAGAAAAGAGAGAGAGGCAAGATTTTTGAAAAGAAGAAATAAAGTACTAGGTTGTATGTGTAGAATTACATTGAATTCAGAAATCTTTTGATGCTCAATCTTTTTTTTGGAAGACTAGCTACTTTATTATCATTTCAACAAAAGGAGAGGGGTAATAAGATTGTGCATATGATGAATGGTAGATGTAATGTTAGTGAACCATGTGAAGAATATATATAGCCTGGTTCATCTCTAGGATCTTCCTTGTGCCATACTATGTGAGTTGGTCTTCAATTTCTCACATAAAGGTAAAAAGAATCAAGAATGGAAAATCCAAGTCACTCAATCATCATATAATCAATGAGGTATTGACTTACAATCTTGGATGTGTGCTGCCAACAAATGAGAAAGACATCATATATGGTGTACAGATATTGATGATGTTTTCAACCATTCTGGTCTTGAATGAGTTGATAATTCAAAGATGAAGTTCTGTCCCTCCTGATTTCTCCCTGCCCTTGGAACAACTCCTTATGATATGATACCTCATACTATAAAATCAGGTAGAAAGATTTGAAATTTGAACAAATTACAAAACATAGCCTAGGCAAAGTATGCAGAAGGAAACTTGAAAGATGTAAGAGTATTATGGAGAAAGGGAAAGCACAATCAACATTGCACATCACAATATTTGAAGATCAGCTGCTGATACTGAACACCATCCTAAGCACACAACAAAGATGACACATAAAATTTACTATATTTCTCCTGAGTCCTAAGACATCATTATTCTTTCTACCTTGTTCCTACTTACACATTTTGTAATACTCAAGTCTCTTCTTTGCTATCAGTAGCTTTATGAGTGAAAATAAGTGATTGGAGGATTCTTAATTTGTATGTTCCTGATCTATTGTACAATGCCAAATATGTGAGATGCACTTGTTTTTGTCCTAGGGGTACTTCTCAAATTTGATATGTGGCATGTCTGTGCTGGCTAATCTTATGTGCACTGTTTGCATTACCCCATTGTTTGAATATGATCTTGGGTGTACCCATTCTAATGAATCTAGCCTTCTCACCCTATCTCAAGCATTGGGTCTGCTTTCTTTTCTAAACAGATGAGGTGTGGTGGTGGGGAAACAATAGACAATCATGTCAATAATCAACAATAATTCTGAGCTTGAGGAAAGACACATTTACAGAATACAAAGTAGAAGCCGGGCATGTGCCTGGCTTCGTGCCCAGATTTTTTTTGGCAGTAAATTTGAATTCTGGGCCCGGACTTTTGCCCAGAAAATCAAAATTTACTGCCAAAATAATTCCGGGCATGAAGCCAGGCACATGCCCGGATTCTACTCTGTATCCCGCAATTGCATTTTACACAAAATTATCCTGGGTAAGTGAAGACTCTGCCCCTGTTACACTCCATTTCTATATGCAACATAATCAACTTGAGATCTGGTGGAAGAGATAGGATTTTTTCCACATTCATGATATGTAGACCAATGTGTCACAGTATTAGATGATCATACATGTGACAGCCCCCAGGCTTCATCTCCAAAAAATGCACAATGATCAGGGGGAATTGACCAATGTGTTTTGGGCACCATCACCAACATTGCACAGCTGTTGTGTTATGTGAAAAAACACTTTCACCAGGGATAATGTTGCATCTAATATTGAGATGTGAAAGATGTGTTGATCAGAGTCACAAAGTGCTCACACATCCACAGTCACTGTGGTATGCCTGCTGCCATATGTGAACTTCATGAAATCAAACCACACATCACTTGCATGTTGATGTGTCAAAATTTCCTGAATACTTACTGTGAAGGGATATTAAATTGGTAGGATGCACAATCTGACCAGAATCTGCTTGAATAATCTGACCTCAAGGGCCTGTTGGCTTGAGCAAATCTTGGTCAGACCTTGCACTCTGTAAAATTCAAAGTGCCTGTTCTGTCCAATGTATTTTGATTTCTGCACTTTAACATCTATAGGTCAGGCATTCTGATTGGAATTTTCTTGAGAAAACATGTTCACTTATTCTCAGATCTACACAAAAGCATGTGCTTAACCTTCCACTTCCTTAAAATGAACCAGCCCCTACCAACACAAAAGACCTGGTCACTATGTAACTGGTGCCTAGGAACTAGGATACTACTGTCACCATGTCAGTATCCATGTAGCATGTCAAGGTGCACATATGGAGATTTTGGAGACAAATTTGAAATATTTTGTTTTGCTTTGGACTGAGAATCAGATTGTTGTTGAACCCCCTTTGTGAATGAACATTTGGTGACAGGATTTACAGGATCCTTTGTCAGCAGCTGGGTTAAACTGAGTGTCAATGTCTCAATTGACAAGGGGAAGACATGTCTATTATGGAGACGTCTTTGCAGGGCCTTTTGAGTGTCTATGAAATGTCTTTTTTGTGCGCACATCAACATGATACAAGGATAAAGATATAGTGTGTTGTGGTATTCATTATACCACATGGCTCTTTATCTTGTATGTGTTGTGTGTGCTTTTCCATTTTTGTTTGTTCAATGTATATGTGGCCATGTGTGCTTTGTGTTTCAAGTGTCATCATTTCATCATCAAGATGTCAATTATATTCATCTTGTCAAGGAGTTCTGGTTGTATTGCTAGAAAATCATTTAGATCAAGTTATTTATCAAATTAATGATCAAGATCAAGTCCTGAAGAAGAATGTGGCAAGAGATTGACAGAGAGGTTGTTATGAAACTGTGAGATCTGTATCCTTGTAGCACATCAACATCCACTCACAAAGGACTTTTGATAGACACTCAAAAGACTCTGCAAGGACATCTCCACAACAAGTATGTCTTCCCCTTGTCAATTGAGATGTTGAGACTGTTCAATCTGTCAGATCAGGGAGAGATACAGTTTGGAACTGAACCCATCGAAGTATCTCAAATCCCGCAAGTAGAGTCAAGTTAACTCACCTTTCACCCAAGAAGAATTAGAATATCTTGGATGAAGAAGGGAGACTCTATCCACTGCTCTTTGGTGTTTTACATAAATGTGCTAAGCGGTATTTAGGTTAATAACAATGACAAATTACAGTAAACATGACATATGAGAGACACAGATGTAATATCAATAGTAAACAAGAAATGAAATATAACACAATAGTAAGTTCAATTATGTGAAATATAAATAAACAGAAATGACACTACACTTTGACAGACACTCAGTTGACCCCAGCTGCTGACATAGGATCCCACAAATTCTATCCCCAAATGTTCATTCACACAGGGGGCTCAACAACAATCTCAGTCTATGTCCAACCAAAAGACTTTCAAGTTTGTCTCCAAAATCTCTGTGTGTGTACCATGACATGCTACAAGGATCCTGACATGGAGCTATAACAATTTAGGGAGTACATGAGTACATTAATTTCCTTACATACTTTACTATTTGGAAATAGGTGGCATGTGACCCAAGATTTTGTCTTGTTTATTATGTTTTCATATATGGGGGACCTTTAGCTGTTTCCACTCAGATTTCTTTTCCTCATTGGAAAGACATCTGTCAGTGTTTATTTCTCATCAAATCCTACGACAAACGTCACTCTAACAAATCCTTTTCTATGTCATCCTCATTCAATAGTTTTATTCCTACTTATTAGTCTCAAACATATTTTGCCCACAATCCTTGTTGGTTCACATAAGGGTTTCAGCTATACTATACCCAGTATAATATCCTTGTACCAAATATACCTGGAAAAGTGTCACACATGTTTTCCATGACTTTTCCAACTATACTGCTTCAGTATATCTGAGTATTTATGGGATACAGTCGAACCCGCGCAATTGCATACCCGCGCAACTGCATAATCAGCCTTTTTGCACAGGCCAGGACTTCCCCCGACTTGGTGCGGGCTAAAAATTGGATTTATTGCATAATTTTGTCAAAAATGATAATGCATAAGTCAAAACCCAAAAAAAACAGGTCTTGGAAGCCCAATTGCATAGCTTTTACTCAAAATACAGGATAAAAAGTACATAATTAGGCATAAACCTTGAGCCCTAAGTCTTAAAGCCTAGCTCATAACCTGCAAAAATGCATAATGTTATGTATTTTGGCCTATTTCCGCATATATGCATAACTTTATGCATTTTAAGCTATCCTGTATTTTACCTCACTTTGCATAACCCATGAAATTGCATAGGCCGGATGTTCCCCCCAAATTATGCAATTGCGCGGGTTCGACTGTATAAAGTAAAAACCCGGAATTAATTCCCAGCTTTTTTTCCCAGTTTTTTTGGCTGTAGCATCAATATGGGACAACTGGGAAAACTGATTCTACAGCCAAAAAAAACTGGGAAAAAACCGCATTTGATTCCGGGTTTCTACTTTGTATCCCACAATTGTCTATCTATACTATACTAAGTATAGTTCAAGTACAATATAATTGGACTATACCATATCAAGTATAGTCAAGTATAGCATAGTATAGTATCGTTGCAGCCTTGCTTTACACACAGGTTTGTTTTTTTACAGTCGATTGCAGAAAGCTTGGAAACTTTTGCCCGCCAAACTTGGGCAAATTGGCGTGGAATTCTTTCCAAGCTTTGTGAAATTGACTGTACACTTGTCTATATTTTTGTCTTGACTAACTCAAGTGTATGTGTGTTTTACTGCCATGTGTGCAGGTTTGTCCTTTAGCTCTTTGAAGCTCTTTTTAGGCTTGTTGCTGTTTTACTCATCCAAACCTGATTACCCCAGGTTCTGTTTTCTTCATCAGAAAGAAATCTTCAGCTTTTTTTACTTATCAGTCTCAAACATCTTTTGCCCACGGCCGTTCCTTCCTGCACAGGTTTGTCTTGACTCTTAAAAGCTCTTTTTAGGCTTGTTGCCATTTTACTCGCCTGTACCTGATTACCCCTGGTCTTTTCGCTCTGCAAAGCTCTTTTTAGGCGTGTTGCAATTCTTCTCACCTGAACCTGAACACCCCGGATTTTCGAGTTTGATATCTTTGTGAACTTGTCATCTACAGCAGCTGGATCTCTATCTGAGCAACCGGTTTACTGGCCCCACAAACTTTTGTATACTTTAACCATGTATTCGAGCTTACAACATGCGCAATATAGATCATCACGACAAATCGACATCACAAGATCAACCGCAACACCTTGATCTACACTCCAGAAAGTGCAACGCTTCCCTCCCTTGTCCACGCTGGACTTGAATCTTTCCGTGGCCATATCGGACTTGGACCATTACTGAGCCAAGATATACTTGGACTTGGACTAGGGTTCCATTGAAAACTAGACTCTGGTATATGATACAGAGATGAATCCATTGATGATGGAAGGATCACGAGGGAATCGACTCGATTCAGATGATGGGTCTCAGTTGTAATCCCTCTGGATGACTCGGAGACTGACATGAAAACTTCTGGAAAGCAGAGTTTGCCGTATCGCATCGGTACAATCGAAAGTTGGATCTTGGTTTCTACTTGATCCTACTCGAAAGTCCCAAGATGGGAGCAAAATGGTTAAATCAGCGGTTGCATATTGACCAGTTTGGCAAACCATCGACATCATGTAAAGTGAAAAGTTGCCTGAGTTACCTTGGCTAAAAAATTACCACGAGTTGTGCCGCTGACAAGCCAATCAGCCAAGTGTGGTACGATTTCATATATCATTTTAGGCGGATATTTATGTAACTCGTCAAAATGCTTTACAGAACCACACCATCGAAAGCTAGTTCGGATAAGCAAGTCGACCAGTAATGGTTTTCCTAACTGTAGATCGCAAGATCCCTGCCGAAATTCTATCGTATTCAGAACCTGCCATTGAAAAGCAGATATTCAAATTACAAAGGCATCTATGTACATCCAAGGGGGGGTCGGGACTTACTGAGACCCTAGGAAGTTCCATGGGAATGGTGAGGGTGTGCCACGGCGTTGCGAGCTCAATTGCACAATCGTCATCTCCAGGGTCCTACATTTCGACCAATCGAATTAGTTTTACTACCGCTGAGGTACATGAGCAATACAATTTTTGCCCCAAACTCAACCTCGAAGATCTTGCGCAGAGAGTCCACCAAATCATCCCGAGACTCGTCTGATTTTTCTAATTCTAGACACACTGTATCCCAATGAAGCGGATCAAAAGAATTTAACCTCAACCGACGATGTACTGAGTAATCCTGCGAGGTAAATGTTTGCGCGCTATCTCGGAGATATAATTTCAGACTATCCAAGAGAGAAGGAAGGTGAGCTTTTTGACGGGGTAGGTGCTCAAGGAGCTTCTTTAATCGTAGCCGCAGGATATCCAGCATCTCTGAAACGAAAAAGGGTACCATGAGCGCAAAGGCAAGGTATACCATGTCAAGTTGAGTAAGATGGATTACGTGCACTGACCATCAATCAGTAACCGATACTTCAAAACTAGTTTCATAGCCGGAGCTGTGTGAAGCGAGCAAGTAATATAAATATCGACAACATGTTGTCAAATCATTGATAGGAGATGACTGACCTTCAAAGTGAGGCATATCTGGTGGAATAAGCTTAAACAAAAAATTGGCCGACTGGGGAGCCATAACGAGCTGATCCAAATTCATCATGTCAGAAAACGACGCCCCTCAACTCGCATAGACCCTTGCTACCTACAGTAGATTCACCCTGTAGTGATGAAGCCGGTATTACAGAGAATGGTGCTGGCATTTCAAGATTCACCGAGTGAATATTGAGCGAGTTCTTGCCGTCTGTGGCAACTGAAAATCTCGAGATAATGCTGTTTGACATTAGCGATTTGTCAGCAGAAATATAGATGAGTGTGCAGACATGATATCAGGGATATGCACCAATTAGGTCTCACGAAGTCTTGTACATTCACAACGAGGGGCAAGGCCATAGTAAGATTGCACGACTTTCGAAATGACCTTCGGGTCTCTTCTTGGCCATGCACGCAATGATCCACACTGACAAGAACCTATGTAAAAGCAGTGAGTAATTTCTTGCGTGAGATAGCGATGCGAAAGTTTATGAAGACTGTAGTATGAGAGATAACTTCATATACCTGGACGTGTGAATCTGTAGTGCTGGGTGCGAAGGGTACCGAAATGACAACCTTCACGTTGGGTTGCACATCTCGTACCTCCATCGTACTTTCATTACATTGGAGATTTGATGCTTGAAAGCAATCACCCGAGCGCCCATCAATAATTGACATTGAAATCAATTGGGCAGGGATTCAATACTTACTATCGTCTATGGCTTTGCAGTGTTTCAAAAAGAAGTTGACACGCCCCTCACTGTTGAAAGTTATATTTGCCTTCGCAAGGCGGTTCCTTCCTGAGAATAAAGTGAACAGACAGAAGCGATGTGGAGACATAGAGACTAACAGCAAGGCACAGTGAGTGACCGTATCTAGCCAAGGCGGCTGAGAGTGCTTACTGTCAGTGGGAAGCTTCAGATGCACATCCAGTGCGAGGGGATCTTTGGCAAACGATACCTCGAGCGGCGTTTTGATATGTCCATTTGCTACGACAGACGAGCCGTTTGTCGGGGGCCGATGATAATATTGGAAGATAATACGACTAATCCTAATTTGGGACATGTCTAAGCTCAAGACCTCTGCAACAGGCGTCTTGCTATGGTAGTTTCAAATCAGCCCAAATACCTGCACCTTTCCGGATCGATAGGCAAGCACACATTTTCGCAACTTACCGGACAAAACAGATCAATCACTGTCTCGCCTGGATCGAGTTTTTGAGGGCCAGAAGTGAACCATAAAGTGTCGTAGGGCAGGCCAGAGAATTTCATGCGCAGAGAATCTATATCTACAGACTTCATGGAGATGTAATCCCTCAACTTGAGAAAACACATTTCGAAATAGCACAAAATTGTAGCTTACGCAAGGCAGGTAATTTGTAACACAGGCTGAGACAATTGAACCCTCTTGTTGTTCTGCAGAGCGGCCTGAATTTGTGGCGAGTGCAACGACGAACGTGGGAAAGGCGATGGCTGCGAAATCTTTTTCAAGCTTGGAGGCTTGCTCTTTAATGTCTTTCATGAGTCGAGTAGCCAATGCAAGCGTGTCCATCTGGCCATCGCGCAACATCACATCCTGGGACCATCGACCAGGTTCATATGACACGCCCGTGCGTACGAGCGCCAGTACACTCAGAAGCCATTCCTTCCCCATACCAAGACGACTCTGCAGAGTAGCACAACGGTCCAAGAGACTGGACTCGATGATGGCCCATTTGTCGTCGACATAATGTGCTGGTAGGTGAGTAAACAATCGCTGCGCATGCTCATCCCGTGCCTGAGTCTCCTCGAAGGCTGCCACGACCGAATGTAGTTTTAATGCGCTCCTTTTACGGCCACTCTTGACATACATGCGAATGGCTCGGTTGGCCAAAGCGATATAAAGCTTTTCATACAACTCTTTATCGCTCAAGGAAGCTGACAAGTCGACTCGAGTGATTGAGCCCGGAACAAGAGTCACTTGATCATTTGATCGAATAATTGATGGGATGGCCATGGCGAATGGATGGATATTGGGTAGATACCCTATATATATTCCTAATTTATCGAGCTATTTCGCGCAAGGGAACCAAAGACGGGTCAATTTGTAGCTCCAACGAAAGTGCTTATGATTTCCACTGAAGTGAAAATATACCAACCTGATTATGAGCCAATTCGAGTAATTGGGCGCACAGCCGCAAGACTCCATTTAGCTGCATGGTCGGTAAATCTTTGCCAGTGATCTGTGATTCACACCAATCTACTAAATCAATACAAGCAGAATATGTCCACGATTCAATGAAATAGGTGATGAGAGATGCCTGTCAGAGGGAAAAGCAAATAAACGTTAGTGAAGGCAAGTTCATGCGCGAAGTACACCAGAAACAGACCTCTTGTTGTCGTAGAAATGCGGTAAAGGTAGTAATGAAAGTATTAGCGCGAAAAATAGCATCCTCCAATCGGTCCAACTGGCCAAGAAGCTTGGTGTGTTGGGAGAAGAGATAAATCTTCATGTCAAATATTGAAATGTCACCGCTGGCGACTAATTTAATATACGGTTTTGCGTCGTGGCTCAAAACCGAACGTGAATCATCGCCTGCATCAGTGGCTCCTGCTTTCCCCACCCAGTCGTCGGGGGAATCTGTCGAGGTCCAAAACATTCAGCGCACACCACCAAGGATAATATTGCATTTGATATACAAGGCGCACCACGAAGCTGTTGGAAGAAAGCTGCATCCAGCTCCTCGTATTGCAGCAAGCAGTCTTCGAATAGACAGATGGAGGCAAACCTATTGGCCAAATTGGCCTGTAACTCGACGTAAGCGTCCACTATAGCTAATGATGAGATTGAGATCAGCGAGGACAATACCTTGGCGGCAAAGTACTCTCCAAAATTCCACGCCAAACTACCTCGCTTTGAGTCCAGCCCTCGTACGGATTCTTCCATCTCAGCAACAATGATATCGAACGCTGCTATAAGTCCATCCTTGAGCCGTGCGATAAGCTCCTTCCATTGTGTAACATCGGAACTGGCTGGATCGACTGGATTCGGGCCGCCGAAGTGTGACAGTTGAATGCATCTTAAGTTGGGAGCAGTGCGTGCAGTCGGATCGCATTATCAGATAATGCGATAGCGCGCCGCACGAGACAAAATTTGAAAAAGTCGATGGCGATCCCTCACCTGTCTTTCTTGGGAACATTGAAGTCAGCTTTGATTTTGTCCAATACGCCAGACTTGGTCCTGAAAATTCCGCCCGCATTCGGCTTGGCAGCAGCCGTCACATGAATTATGAGCCACTCAGAAGTGGGAAGACCTTGAACGAAGTCGATCCAAGTGCGTATCTCTTGCTTGACGATCGTTCGATAAGCTTCATTATCCTAACGTTTCAGATGAAGATATCAATATTCGACCGTGAGCCCAATGACGTCACAGAAGGGTGACCCACATCGCAGGCCACAAAAAGCATGTGGAGAAGTGGCCTAGATATTTCAACACTTGCTCTAGCAGAGGATTGGGCTTCCGGAGTCGCAGTGATGAGCTGTTTGGTCGCATCAGATGGATAGAGAGGTTGAAAGTGGAGGTAGACTTGATTTATGGTGCGAACAGGGCGAGATGTTGATTTCCAGATGAGATTCTTGAGTGGTAACTGACGATGGAGATCCGCATGGATGCGTTCCCAAACATCAGGTGAGGGAGATGTATGGTATGAGACCGTGACGGCCTCTGGCTGATTGCTCGTATCCAGAGTAGCCATCGAATGAAAGACTGTCAAGCGTAGCGTCTGGGCTCAGCTCGATCGATCAGCATTAAACAAAACTTGGGACCGCATACATCGTGCTCCAGTAGCCGGTACACCTTGGTGCGCGGCCATCGCCCCGCGGGATCCTCAGCGTTTTCCTTGATCACCGAGTATACCCAGAAGCGGTCCTTATTGCTGGCCAGGTGCCCTACATACACCCAAACTTGAGAATGGATGTTTTTTTCTGAAATGGGCATCATGGTGCAAGCCCTGGTTTTGTTATTGACCAAGTTTTGTTTCTCTGCTGATTTTGTGAGAATACATACAGACAATACAAAACTTGTAAAGAACCTTTTTGGTTGGTTTGAACCATTGCAGCAGCAACTTTTTTCAAAAGAAGTGGTCAATCATTCTCAAATTGACTGTAGCTCAAATACCCCAATCCACAATTGAGGATCCTAGAATATAAAGAAAGAAGATTCCACCAGGATTTCACAACCAAGTTATCACAATGGACATGATGAAGATATGAGCCAACAAAGTGTGAATGTTTGAAGCTCAATAGACTTTGAAAATTTCCTTTGTCCAAAAGTTTATTGCTTTCTCTGTCTTCTTGGTTGCAGTGGTCATTTAAAGTCAATGGATAGAGATAGATACAGTCCCAGTGCCACACCCAAACAATCTATGCAAGGAAGGTGTATCTTGCTACAAAGTTCAAAGTTTACACAATTCAGAGTACAAGTAGTCACAGAAGGTCCTTTTGAAGCCATACATGCTGAAGGGGGGTCATATACTGTCTGTGACTATTTTGTTCCTTTCGAGTGTTTTGATTTCACATGGCACACTAAGTTTATATCTCAAGATCAAAATGTAACCATATTATAACTCTGCTAGAAAATCTAAGAAAAACTAGCTCTTCCCTATCTTGATCAATCAATCAAAAAAATTAACATGCCATCAACATCATCCAAAAAGAGAGCCAAGGTAGACAAGCAAAAAAAATATAAAATTCAAAAAAAAATCCACCCTCCCCTAGTTTCACTTTTTTTCATCACAAAGATTCAGATGAGAAATGATGGTTTCTTTGACTACAAAACTGCACAGGTTGTGGCCAATAAGCTGGAATCCCTATCCACTTCATGTGAAACGGGTGGTGGTTTCAACGGAAGAACTATGGTAGAGGTTTGATCACTATTTGCCAAGATTGTACACATAGTGACGTAAAAGCTACGGTTTTGATTTTCAAATTTGGGTTTTGTGAGATTTCAATTTTTGCTGTTGACCCATCTTGTGGTCAAACACGTAATCCAGAACTTCTCCAATTTTTGATATGAAGCCCTTAGCATCTGATATCAAAAACCAGATGGTCGGAATGCACCTAGAGAAGATGAGGAACATCAATGTCTGCAATGCCCTTGGATGTCCAGTCACGACAGTCCAATCTGTCATTGCTAGATTCAAGATGAAAGGTTCAGTTGAGCATCAAAAACCTACAGGTTGACCATCTCTGTTGACCAATTGTGATCTCCAACATCTTGAGTGTGATGTCAAAAAAACTTGCCGAGAGATCTCCCATGCATGAGTTGGTCCAGGAATTGGCGCCAAAAGCTAGTGCTACTACAATCCAGCTGGCTCTGAAATCACTTGGTTACAACTCAAGAGTAGCAATAGTCAAACCATATTTGAATGCTAAACATAAAGCTGCACATCTTGAGTTTGCAAAAAATCATGTGGCATGGACAGTAGATAATTGGAACCAAGTCATCTGGACGGATGAATCAACCTTTGAGATTGGGAAGCCTTATTGCAAAGTTTGGGTTTGGCAAAAAGTGACAGAAAATTATGAGGCATCCTGCTTGGCACCCTCTTTCAAGTTGGGTCGTAGGGGGTGGTTTCATTCCTGGACACAATCTCAAGCTCATCATCAGGGAGCCTGGTTGTCAAGACTTGGACAACTTTGTCAAGCAAGTGTATGAAAAATTGTTAGGACCCTTTTTGCACAAATAACAAAGATCTCATTTTGATGGAGGATGGAGCCCCAGGCCATCACTCTGAACTTTCCTCCCAATGGTGTGAGAAAGAAGGGATAGAGAAGTTAAAATGGGCAGTGCAGTCACCTGATCTGAACCCAATCAAGAACCTTTGGTCCATCATGAAATCTGACATCTCAACCAAACATCCAATCAAGGATCTGGATTCCATGAAGGCCAATGTTTTGGAGTCATGGGAGAGCGTACCTACTGAGAAATTGGAATGTCTAGCTGCCTCAATGGCCAAGCGAATTCAAGCCGTCATTGCAGCCAAGGGCAGATCCACCCATTGGTGATTGACCAAGTAAATATTTTGAACTCTTTACCATGGGTCTCTGTCTCTACATCATCAATTAGACAGCATGTTGATGCTTCATGCTGTCCACTTTTATAAGGTATGGTATATGTAAATTAAAACTTATGATGAGATTTGTAAGACCAAAATCAACTTTTTTCCAAAAAAAATAAATAAAAAACCATAGCTTTTCCATGACTACGTGTACCCTATGATTTGACAAATTGGTACCGTCAGGGGTCTGAATTTGCATCAGATCTTATCAAAACCAACAAAGACAATGATGGGCTGTCCCATAAAAATGAAGGGCCACTCCCTACTAGGCCTGTCCAACACCCGACGTCAGCGCAGTACAGCGCAGAATGCGCAAAACTGCGCTGCGCCAAAAAAATCGAAAATTCCAAAACCCACTGCGCTGCGCTAGGGCGCAGTGACCCAAAATCTTTGAGGCCCCTGCGGTGCGCTCCAGCGCAGCGCAGTGGGCAAAAAAATTGTTTTTCTGGCGGATGGAAAGCCCATTTTTTCAATTTTCCATTGGAGAAGTGACACATCCACTGCGCTGCAAAAAGGCGCAGTGGCGAAAAGTCGAAAAGCCCCTGCGCTGTGAAGAGGCGCAGTCGCCATATTTTCAAAAACCCCAGCGCTGTGCCACAGCGCAGGCGCAGGCTGTGCCTCGCAGTCTGCGCTGCGAGTCGGGTGTTGGCCTGTCATATCATAAGAAGACCCTGTGTGTGTTTTCAGCCTATCTTCTGATCCAGTTTTCCTGGAAGACATTTTCTTGGCAAAACAAAAGAGCATCCAGAGCAGCAATCATCCATTGGCCCCAATTCATACCCTTACTCAAAATGAAATTGACATGGCGCAAACAGAAAGAGACTTGCTTGATTCTGAAAACAATGAAAATGGATCACAGCATTCTGAATCAAATCCTCCTATCAAACAAAAGAAAAATAAACATTCCAAAAATAATAAAACAACATTGATTCATATGATTAAGATGATCAAGATGCAAAAACAGCAAAAAAACTCAAAGAAATGGGATTGGTTGTCCGGAGCAGAATCTGGACCAAACTGGAAGGCATTTTATCCTCCAGGAGAAATTAGAGTTTCACATGCAAAGAAAGGTTACACATCAAGTTTATCTCAAGCAGTTAAAGCTTTGAATAAATCTGTTAGACTGTCCGATTTTTCTAAAGCATTATCTGAAAATTACTGGAAGGAGAATATATTGACTTACAATGTAATAAAGGGGAGTGTATGGCTAAACAGAGGGGCTATTCTGCTCCTCTTAATCTGGATGGTTGTGATAAAAATCTTTCTCTACAAAACAAAGTACTCTCCAAAAGAATTATTGAATTGCAAGAATAGTTTTAATACTTTGATAGTCCTCAAAAGATAAGAATATTTCCCAATTTGTTATGAGGACTTTTCAAAATATGTGGATTTTATCAAGGATCAATGTATTTCAGATGAATCAAAAGCAGGTTGGGTTTGTGTTTCAAATTTTAGGCAGCCCTTGAACAAAACTTTGCATCAAGAGAAAATTTATCATTTAAAGACTTCAATCATTGATCACTATCAACATTATCAACAAAGTATATGGCAAAGACTTGTGAAACTTGCCAGCCCAAAGTGTCAACAATCTCTAGACCATATCACGCTCCAGCTTTACAGAGATATAATCAATGTGACAATTCCCACAGCGCTCCGCCTGCACTATTTGTTTTTGTGTAAAGTGGTGCTTGTGCTATGCTATAGCTATCAGCATGTCCTTGCTCACAAAGTGGGTTTCAAATATGCACTGTATAGCAAATTATTGCTGTGATACAAGGGTCCATAGCGCCACTGAGCGCCACAGGAACTCGTAGCAACAGTGCGCTTGATGGCACAAACAAGGATAGCACCAGTATCCCGCCCTTGTGTCTAATACTCTATCTTGCCATATCATGTAACTGTGTATATGGTGTAAGCAAAAGCTCTCACTGAGCCCAAACTTACATTCTTATAGTGTGCAAACTGTCATTCTCAATCTCACCACCTGATCTCACAGTTTTCAGATCTCTATCAACTTTGACTGAAGGAACTATTATGTAATGAGTCATAAAGAATATTGATTTACAAACCAACATACAAAAGCAACATTAGATCCTCATATCTAATCAATCACCCAGATAGTTACAATACTCATAAGGGATTGATCTACTAAGCTAAGAGCCAAGTGATTCATCAGTAAATTTAGAAAACCACTGAATGACACATATACAGGGCTACAAAAGCTAAAAATCAAAAAGTGTATAACAAACAAAAATCAGA